ACTGTCCTAAAATGCGACTCATAATTCTTTAAAATAATGCACACAAGAGGACACACGTGCGTATACCCAACCACTCATATACATACAGGTGTGTGTGTGTGTGTACACACACACATATATATGGATACATAGGCGGCGGAAGCGGGGGGGGGGGGGGAAGAGGGCGAGAGTATATCTCCCCCCCCCCCCCCCCGAAATTGCTATACTATACTATTTCTATACTATATCTCATTTTACCAGAATGGGTATCACTCTTACAGTAGACATGTTGGTTTCCATGAACTTGATTTATTAAAAGTATTGTATAGATATAGTGGAGTATAGTATAGTAAAGGACAGATTTTTCTGGGCTCATGAACACACACACACACACACACACACACACACACACACACACACACACACACACACACACACACACACACACACACACACACACACACACACACACACACACAGATGACTATATTTACTGAAAATGAAAAGTGAGACGACAGTTTCGGAATCCACCTGGATTCCATCCTCCGACCTGAGGATGGAATCCAGGGGAATTCCGAAACTGTCGTCTCACTTTCATTTTCAATAAATCTAGTTTTTACATTGTGGGTTTTTTCTACTACAGATGACTATATTCTTATTTATACAAGCCTGTAGCACATACTAACAACTGTTTCTCCCGCAGACCATTCCGCGCAGCCTGACCATGGCACTCTACCAGCGTAATCGTATAGATTTCCTTATGTTTGGTTATTCAGTTGAAAAATATTTATCCCCTCCCTCTGACGCTCTTCCTTAATCCTTAATTTTAAATAGAAACGGAATCTGTGCATTCTATACCTGTAATTTATGTTTTATGTTATTGACGTCGCAGTATTTAAGAATGATTTGTAAATATGGCGTACGGGTGAATATGCAACTTCATATGTATATAGCGAATGTGGACGAGACTATTGTGTGAAATATATAGATTAAGATAACAATGAGTCTTTTAATCTCACCATAAGACCAATGACCACCTCAGTCGCTGTTTTTATCGAGGAGACACGCAATACCTATAATTACTGAAGAGAATGTATTAAGGAAAACAAATATATAGCAAACAGAGAACACATGACAATTAAAATACGTCACAGAAGAAAATAACACAAGGATATAGCAATTACTGTATAAAAAAAATGACCAAATGACATTTTTTTTCTTGTACAGGAGTCTAATGCATGTAGGCCTATATTTCAGCACTAATTTCGCCATGCCCACTTCCTCTATCGTTTCTTTTCTTAAAAGACATCTCCCTTTGATCTTCGTTAAACGATTTGGTCGATTTTTTTTCCTTTTTTGCTACATTGTTCACCACTGAGTAACCTTAAATAAAAATCTCTGAACGCCAAAACGTTCATCGTACTTTTAATGAATCATACCACCTCAATGATGTACCTTTTGATCACACGGTTGGAATATGTTATGCAAATGAGCAACTAATACGATATTGCGCCAATAATAAAGAAGCTATTAATCTAGCAATAAATTCCAAAGAGATGGAGAGTGAGAGAGAGAGAGAGAGAGAGAGAGAGAGAGAGAGAGAGAGAGAGAGAGAGAGAGAGAGAGAGGGGGAGTAAATGAGAAAGTGAGAGAGAGGGAGGGAGGGAGGGAGGGAGAGAGAGAGAGAGAGAGAGAGAGAGAGAGAGAGAGAGAGAGAGAGAGAGAGAGAGAGAGAGAGAGAGAGAGAGAGAGAGAGAGAGGGGGGGGGGGAGAGAGAGAGAGAGAGAGAGAGAGAGAGAGAGAGAGAGAGAGAGAGAGAGAGAGAGAGAGAGAGAGAGAGAGAGAGAGAGAGAGGGGGGGGGGGGGAGAGAGAGAGAGAGAGAGAGAGAGAGAGAGAGAGAGAGAGAGAGAGAGAGAGAGAGAGAGAGAGAGAAGGGGGAGGGAGAGGGAGAGGGAGGGAGAGAGGGAGAGGGAGAGGGGGGGAGAGGGAGAGGGGGGGAGGGAGGGAGGGAGGGAGGGAGGGAGGGAGAGGGAGGGAGGGAGGGAGGGAGGGAGGGAGGGAGGGAGGGAGGGAGAGAGAGAGAGAGAGAGAGAGAGAGAGAGAGAGGGAGGGAGGGAGGGGGAGGGAGAGAGAGAGAGAGAGAGAGAGAGAGAGAGAGAGAGAGAGAGAGAGAGAGAGAGAGAGAGAGAGAGAGAGAGAGAGGGGAGAGGGAGAGGGAGAGGAAGAGGGGAGAGAGAGAGAGAGAGGAAGAGGGGAGAGAGAGAGAGAGAGAGAGAGAGAGAGAGAGAGAGAGAGAGAGAGAGAGAGAGAGAGAGAGAGAGAGAGAGGGGGGGGGGGAGGGGGGGGGAGAGGGAGAGGGAGAGGGAGAGGGAGAGGGAGAGAGAGAGAGAGAGAGAGAGAGAGAGAGAGAGAGAGAGAGAGAGAGAGAGAGAGAGAGAGAGAGAGAGAGAGAGAGAATCATTACTCTGATTATTTGTACTACTCTCAAATTCAATCTAATAGGCTGTAAATGATAATGCA